TTTTTTCTCTAGCGCCATCTATCCGTGAGAAACTACAAATTATCCCAGTCTATTTGAAAGTAAAAGTATTCTACCATCCTATTTACCGACCTATATGTAAGCGTCATCTTGTCTTTTATTGGTTGAAGAGAAATTGTTCAAGCAACGCCATTAATAATAAAAACAGTGCCGGAAAATGAAAAAGTTATACCTATTAATCATTTCAAATGTTTCATGAATTAATGGACTGACTATACATCGACGTCACATGGAAACTGCTAAATGAAAAACGATTGTGGACTTCAATATGTGTGTCATCCATAAATCTATTCAAAAATATCTTCAAAAAATATGAAAGTAATCCAAATATCACTGAAAATTATCAAGCAATCTAGAAAAAAATCAAAAAAGATCCAGGTCTAGCTATTTTGATCGGGCTGACACAAGGTTCACACTCCCAGGCGCGATCCCACTACTGCACGACGCGGAGACTTTTGGCTGCTGGGTTTCCCCCCTGGCCCGGTTCGCCTCTCCTTAGCCGACCTGGCTGTCCCGGACTCCTCCAGGACACCCATATCGACGCCATGCTTAGTGTGGACACCCGGTCGACGTGAGAAACCCTGCACCAGGACTCCCGACCTCAAACCATCCGCTGAATCCGACCTCCAAGTAGCTTGGATTACAGGAGACGCCACGCTCCCAGTCGAAAGTAATCAGCGATGTGTTGCGTTATAAATAACGATTTGCGCGTTGCGTCGACGGGTAATTGTAGTTGCCTACAAACGGAGATNTATAAAACTCTCTTTCATCAGAATAATAAGATGCTCGGACTTTCTAAAAATAAGCAATTGAAACCTGAAAGAAAGTGACAAAATCAGTGCTATAAAAGAGAAACACCAAAAAAGAAAAAATTCAAAGTAGATTAACTCTGACACAGATAAAAAAATTGTCAAAATTGTTTATACTCTCAATTTTATTCCTGGCAGTAACTGATTATTATTGTTCTACTGATGCTAGAGTTTCTTCAAGCAGCCACACAAAAATTCATTTATAAAAATCTCCTTCATCAGAATAACAAGATGCTTGACCTTTATAAAAATGAGCAATTGAAACCTGAAAGTGACAAAATCAGTGCAATAAAAAAGAAATACCAAAAAAGAAATAATTTAAAGTAGGTCAACTCTGACACAGATCAAACATTTGACAATATTGTTAATACTCTCAATGTTATTCCTGACAGTAACTGATTAGTATCATTCTACCGATGCCGGTTTGCATTATTATCGATTCAATCTAACCCACGAGTAATATCTATCAGCGAAAAATCATAATAAACAATTTAAAATTGATGAATCCACCCCAAAACAAATATATGTACAATTAGTACATACCACGGAGCAACATGAACCGAATCATCATACATTATTCCAACAAAAGTATGCATCGTTTAAACAAATATTAAACCAGTCAAAATCACAATTAAAAAAATATTTTCAAAAGGTTGAATACATACATAATCCGCTTTCTCACTAGCGCCATCTATCCGCGAAAAGCTACCAATCGTCCCAGTCCATTATATGAATGAAAAATGTATTCTACTATCTTATTTACCGACCTATATGCCTATATCATTGTCTATAGATTTACTTAGACAATGTCTATATGTAGGTACGCGTCATTTTGTTTGTTATTTGAAGAGCAAATATTCAAATAACGTTCTTACATATAAACAGTGGCGAAAAATAGAAAAGTTATAGTACTTAATCCAATCGTCTAATGAATCAGTGGATTGATTATATATAGACATCACATAAAAACTACTAGCTAAATGAAAAACGATTGTGGACTTCAATATGTGTGTCATCCATAAATCTATTCAAAAATATCTTCAAAAAATATGAAAGTAATCCAAATATCACTGAAAATTATCAAGCAATCTAGAAAAAAAATCAAAAAAGATCCAGGTCTAGCTATTTTGATCGGGCTGACACAAGGTTCACACTCCCAGGCGCGATCCCACTACTGCACGACGCGGAGACTTTTGGCTGCTGGGTTTCCCCCCTGGCCCGGTTCGCCTCTCCTTAGCCGACCTGGCTGTCCCAGACTCCTCCAGGACACCCATATCGACGCCATGCTTAGTGTGGACNGAGATCTAGAATTAGTAACTTATGAATATGATAGGAATTTTTTGTCTAAGAAACTATTAGGTATTAATTTAATATTTCTGGTAGCAAAAACCTATTCTCCCTCACGAGTGTAAGGATATAACTGTTTTTCGTGTACACGAAAGGCATAAACGTAATTTGTTACCCGATCATGGGATCTCTGTGTTGTAACATCCACCCTACTCACCAGATCTAGCTCCGTGTGACTTCCAGAAATATTTCACTTTGTACAATCACAAACCACAAATCCATTTGATTTTCACAATATGCATATACCTACCTAGTCGTTACTTCATTCAAGTACTTGATTTATCGTTAAAGTGTTAAAAATGCGAGTTTATTTCAATGACTCAAAGTGGTTTAATGCAACATACCTCTTAAGACTAAGACTAAGAATTGAGAGTTCGTTTATAACAAATAATTAAGAACGTTTATGGAAACTTGACAAAGATTAAGAACTAAGAACTATACCTACCTAGAAAATTGCATGGCACACATGGCACAATAGCACACATTGCCATTGCACAATGGCAATGTGTGCCATTATGCCAAATTGAAATATTTACCTACAGCTGTCATTGATTCGAGAAATTTTAAAACGATTGTTTCAAATTTGTATCTTGTATAATTAAAATATTTATTTAATGAAAGAGTTTTATTTATATGGAATTATTTTCTGTAGTTTAGTCAAATATCGAATAAATAATTGTTGCATGTGCATAACCGTGTTTACCATCACTTGCAATTCCAGATGAAAACCAGAACTTCATTAGAGTTAGAAGCAATCGTTAATAAATAGACATGTGAACACAATTAGAAACACAAATTTTAGTTTCCTATTTTATGCCCTTTATCATGAATATTTCATATATAGACATTTGTACAATAGGTTATATCATTTGAAAAAAAAATTACTAGTAAAAGCTTTTTGTGCATTGAAAAAAATCATAACCTCACAATATAATAAGCAATTTCTGTGAATTTATATTACAAGTCGGATGAAATGAATGACTCACCCCTTTGATGACTTCCTCAAAAAGAATGGTTTTAGGTTATCAGAATAGGTAATGTAAAAAAAAATTCACTTGAAAATATACACATGAAATATGTGGTTGAACATCACTATGAACACTATTTAAACTTTTAAACACTTGCATTGTAGTTTCGACGGGTTACACGAAAAATTACTTGGAATTTTTGCAAACTTGTCATGTGGAAAACCGACCACGTGCGTACTCTTACTTCTTGTATTTGAGTGATACGGCATGGCCACATGTTTACGTCAAAACAACCAATCAGAAGACTATTACGCTTGTCTTGTTACTCTTTTTTTTTGCGTAACCAGAGAATATTGCGAAAGCCTTATTGGTTTTCCGTTTTTAAGTCAGAGGCGAGACGGGTAATAAATTCTGCTTGCCATGTTTGTAGGAACAGTATCATTTTTTTAACGTCCTAGCCTAAGCCACCTTATATTACGAGTATTTGGAAAAATATTCGCACGACAGAGGGTTGGTTATATTATCAGTAGAAATTATGAAAAATTTATT